GAGCCGCAGCGGCTTGTCGCCCGCCACCGCGGTGGCAGCACGCTCCTTCTGCGCGAGTGCAAACGCCTCGAGCGCGAGCGCGACGTTCTTCTTGGCCTCGAACCGGTTGATCGACAGCAGGGTTGCACGCGCTTCGTCGGCACAGAACCGCGCGATGGATGCACGGATCGGATCGCCCATCGCCTCGGCCTCGTGCTGCAGCTTCGCCACCGCCTCGGCCACGCGCGCGCGCTCGAACTGCGCCACCTCCACGCCCGGATAGCACACGCGCGGCTGGCGCCGCAGCCGGAAGAAGCTCGCGGTGAACTGAGCCGAGGTGAACTTGGAGTTGACCAGGATCTTGTCTGCATAGTCCGTCATGCCCTCCTCGTACAGATCAAACGGCAACCTATACAGCCTGCGCAGGATCGAGGGACCGGACTCGCCTCGAGCGTGCGCCTTCTGCATGGCGATCGAGTTGCCAATCTCCTTGTCCGGGAAATGGCAGTAGTACAGCACGCGCGTTGCGAGCAGGATCTTCAGCCACGGAATCCCCGCCGGCAGCTGATCGAAGAAGAACAGATCAAACCCGGGGATGGGCGGAGAGCTGGTGAGACGCGATGCGACGAAGCGCGGAAGTGTACCGGGATAGTTGAACAGCGTCACGGCCAGGATCAGCTGCCACACCAGGCTGAGTTGCTGCAGGATCGCGCAGGGGAGGTGCAACGAGCCGAGCACGGAGCGCGGGATGTGCGTGTGCATCACCTGCACCTTGAGCGTGCCATCGCGTGTAGGCTCGAAGCAGTGACCCGGATCGTGGTGCGAGGTAAAGATGACCACTTCGTGGCCCAGGTTCTGCAGCGACAGCGCCGCATCCACCACCAGCTTCTCGGCGCCACCGATGCCCAGGTCGGGATGGACAAAGCCGATGCGCAGCTTCTTGCGCGGCGAGTGCACCGAGTTGGCCACCGCGGCCGACTGCCGATCGAGCGACATGCTGAGCGAATGGGCGGGAGGGTAGGATAGAGGGTGAAGAGGTGGTGGTGGGATGGCAAGGCGCGTGCTTGGCCCTGGCTTGGGCTTGGCTTGGTCAGTGCATGCATTCCACGGCGCGCCTTCTTCCTCGTCGGCCTTCACCTCGGCTTTCGGGGATCGGCGTTGGGGCTCCCAGGCGCATTTTTTTGGCTCAGCCTCCACACGTAGGACAGCTTGCCTTGAGCTGCCACCTCTGCCTCACCCACTTCCACCATTTACCTCGCCCTGATCACGCAGCTGCCTCGCCATGGCGCCCAAGAAGGCAGCAGGCTCAGCAGGCGGCTCGCCGTCCAAGGCGAGCCACGCCTCGCGTGCCGCCGCGCTGCTCTCCAAAGCACGCGCACAAGCCTCGTCGCACCCAGCCGCATCCACCTCGCGCGCCTCGACCACCCCTTCTCCGACCAAGCCATCTGGCGCCGCCTCATCATCCAGCGCGATCCCGCTGCCGGAGCTGCTCAAGACGCTGTCGTCGAAAGGTGGCTTGACGATGCGCGATGCGATGGCGGTGGCGGGCAAGCTGATCAATGCGCGCGCCAACACGCCCGAGGCACTGGCGCACATCTCGCTCATCATGCTGCAGGACATCGGCGTCGAGTCGGAGGAGCATCGCAAACGCGCCGTGCTCGCATTCAAGGGCAAACGCGCCGCGGGCTTCATCGCCACCTCCCCCGCCACCACCACCTCGGCCGGGCTGGCGCCGGATTTCGGTACGTACCGCAAGCGACGACGGGCTGATGACGACGAGACGCTCGGAAGAGAGTACGGCAACGTCACTGCGCCGTCCGACTCGCGCACACGGCGACCAGTGCAGATCGAGTATACGTTCAACGAGGTGCTCGAGGCGGATGCATTGCGCGGTCGCTACGCCGTGGTGAACCGCGCCCCCGTCATGACCGCTTGGGCCGTGGTGCTGTTGGAGAGGCTGGGGTTCAGTAGGCCCGAGGCGCTGAGTCTGGCGCACTGCTACGTCAACTACACCAGCACCATGCGCGGCATCAGCCTCGGCATCATCCCTGCGGCGGAGAAGGAACGCGCAGTGCACACGGTGGGCCCGAACCAGCCGCACTTTGAGCTGATGGGCGTCAAGATCCCCGTGATGCACATGCAGGACGGCACCTACCGCGGCATCAGTGCCGGCGAGGTGGTCGGGCCCGAAAAAGCGTTTGGCTACATGCGCAAGGCAATGGCCCAAACCCTCGCCAGCGTCGTTGGCGCCCTCACACTGCTAGCAGATAGCTTTATGGAGGAGCAGGCAGGAGGCGAGTATGGAGGCGAGTACCTCAACAAGAGGGGGTACGAGTTGTATGCCGAGTTTCGACCAAGCACCGCGGGCGAGTGGGGGAAAAAGGGCAGGCTGTGGTACGACAAGATCCTCGCGCTCCGAAGAGGGTGCGAGGCCGAGCTGAGAGAGTGGAACAACAAGCAGGCACTGCTCGAGCAGCATGGGCCGCCCGAAGAAGAGTGGGCCGAGGACGTCGAACGTCTGGTTCAGGAGGAGCTGGACAAAGAACAAGCTCGGGACGCACAAGTCAAGACCGAAAGTACATCCGCCAAGCAAGAATCGGAGACATAGTCGGCACATCGATACCACGTCCAGTAAGACAGACCCTGTAATCTTTCATGGCTGTGTGGGACCTAGACGTTGCGCCAGCCTCTCGCGCGCTCCTTGATCCCCAATCAAAGCGTGATGCTTCCGGTCAGCTTTCGGCCAAGGTACCTGGAGAGAGAGGGCGAGCGGGCTACTTACGATCTCTGGCGCGGTGTGCATAGCCTTGGAACGTGACGCTGCCTCTGCTGGATGTGGCGATGGATTCTGCGCCGCCCGGTCGTTCCGCGGTGGGCACAGGCGCAGCGCTACCCAGCCCTGCGCCGGGTCTGTATACCTTTGTCTGCACGATCTCGGTGGTGCCCTGCCTGCCCTTGCCGAGTCCCTCGCCCTGCGTCCATCCCATCATCTTTAACAGCTTGCTGCCGACATTCTCCTCACCGACGGGGCGTTCGGGTGCCGACCGCACCGTCTCTCCACCGGCCGTCTTGGGCGCGTCAAACGCCTTGCCTGCGCCACTGGCCGCACTGGGAGGTGGAGCTTCGGTGCCGAAGACTGCGCGTCGCTCTGAAGCGCGATCGCGGTATTGTGTGGGTGCAGAGCAAGCCGCCGTCACAGCGGTAGCATTGTCGGCCGGGGAGGTGAGGCTGGCAAGGGCTTCGAGCTTGCGCGCGACGCCTTGACGACACGTGTCCGCGCTGGCGAGGTTATCGCGATGCAGCTGCGACTCGCTCTCATGCCGATGCAGTGTATCGGCGCTCTTGAACTTGCGCTGGCACAGCAGGCATGCGATGCGCCCGAGATCCTTGTAGTCGTACCGAGCCAGTGCCTCTGATGACATCTCCGCCGCCGAGCTCATTCGTTCCGACGACGGCCCAGCTTCGGCCGAGTCCGATACCGCAGCCGTGGCGGGAGAGGATGCCGGAAGTTGATGCAGTTCAGCCTGTTTGCGGTTCCACTTGGTAATGTCGGTGGCCATGCGCTTGGTGGCTGCGGTTGCGGCAGGCCGCGGTATTGATGGCTTGACCGAGGCGCCCTTGGATGTCGCGGGAGGCTTGGCAGGCGGAGCGGCATCCGCTCGTGGAAGCCGTTGATCCGCCCATGGTACCGAACTACCCGAGTGTGCGGGAGCGCCAGGTGACCTGGATCGGCGCCTTTCCGCGCCGCGACAGCTCCCGCTCCGATCGAAGGTAGGGCCAGGGTCGTCTCGGTCCACGTAATGCGTTGCACGCTGCAGGGTCTGCCCATGCTGCGGCTAGTGAGCAGCGAGTATCAGAGGCAGATGATCAACGTTCTCGTCCCAAAGCAAGAACCGCCGAGCCATGCACAGTGTTCCCCCTCGAGGCGGACGGGATCTTGCGTGGCTGCCCAGCCGTGCATGCTCGCAAACTTACCGTTGAGCCGTGCGACATTCCGGCTCGGTCTGTGTGGGAGAGGGCTGTTGCGCGGGACTGGTGGCCAGACGGACGACAAGATGCCATGATGGTGGCAGAAAGGCACGGTGCGAGTCGAGGAAGCGATTCAGGGTCTGCAATAAAGTCGGCTGCAGCCGTGCAGATTGGGCGTATTTTAAAATGTTAGGTCGATGGGGTGGCGCGCCCACTTCCGCTCTAAACGGCGCTTTTTAGCCGCTCAAAACATGCGCCAAAAGGCAAAGCCAACTCCACCTTCGCAGTCCTCTCTTGACCTGACCAGCACCGCTGGCTCTCGCTTCCCTACCTCCATCGCCATCGCCATCGCCATCGCCATCG